GCAACAAACAATAATTAGTATATCACCTTTTTTATGCAAACATAAAACTCTTTACATACATATTCCAAAATCTTATTTGTGATTCTTCCCAAACTTCTATATTACCAGCTCCACAATAGTGATAGATACATAAATAAATAAACAAAGACTTGACTGCTGGGCACTTTTACCCCCTTCGTGCCCAGGCCAAATTTCAGCTTTCAGTTCTGTCTCACTTTGAATGACAATTGCATGGTCATGCAACATTGTACCCATATGACATTTTTATCATTTGTTTCACACACATAGAGCTTCCTTTTGGTGGTATTTAATCACCACTGGGTGTTTTATTTTTTGCACTATAAGCAAAAAAAGAGCAAAAACATTTAAAAAAAAAAGGTTTTTCTGTTTCTATTATAAAATTTTGCAAACAGGTAATTTTTCTCCTTCACTGATGGGTGTTGATGAGGCTGCACTGATAGGGCAGCACTGATAGGCAGCACTGATGGATACTGATAGGCAGCACTGATGGGCACTGATGAGGTGGCACGCATAGGCAGCACTGATAGGCTGCACTGATGAGGTGGAACTGATGAGGTGGCATTGGTGGGCATTGATGAGGAGGCAATGATGATACTGCACTGATATGCAGCAGTGATGGGCACTGATAGGCGGCACTGGTAGGCACTGACAGGCAACATTGATAGGCGGCGCTGACTGGCAGCATTAACTGATGGCACTGACTGATGGCACTGGCTGGTGGCACTGATGGGCGGCACTGATGGGCACAAATGCTGGGTGGCATTGCTGGACAGCACTGATGTGCGGCACTGCTGGGCACTGATAGGTGGCACTGCTGGGCACTGGTGAGAGGCACACTGCGGGGCACTGGTGAGAGGCACTGCAGGGCGCTGGTGGGTGGTACTGCTGGACACTGATCATAAGTGCCCTGATGAACAGTGCAAATGTCCTCTGTGTCATTTGCCAGTTATCGGCAGTACTTTCCTCACACTGCAAGAGCATGAGGAAAGTGCTGCCGATATATATATATATATATATATATATATATATATATATATATTTTTGTATATATACATATACTACAACATGGAGGCTCTCATAGACTAGAGTTAAACTAGAACTGTTAGAACTATACTATGCAGAGGCACCTTAAAAAATAAATGCACCTTCTGTAACTTGTTACATGGTACGCCTGTATTTAGTGTGTAATGTGTAACATTTTACTGTGCAGCAGTCAACCTCTCCACCTCACCTCCCCTTATGACAGCAGGCGGGGTTCCTCTCCCAGCACCCACTGTCATATTTTAAAAACATAATGACTGTGTGGGGCTCTGCCCACACAGCCATATCATTCATTCACAGAGATCTGTGAATAAATGTCCCATCTGGCACACAGTGGCGATAGTTTGTAATTCTTAGTGAACTACGAGCTGATGAGAGCCCTTGTGGTTTATTGGCTCTTGCTGCACCTCAGTAACTGTCTGCCCATACAGGAAGTTTTTTGTTGGCTAGCTGGTAAGTGCGTTGAGAAATACATTTTGTTTTGTTTGCTCTGTGCATGTGCTTTTTCTAAAAGCTATTTATAATTATAATTTGTTATAATTTGCGGGCAGTTGCCATTTTTGTTTAACTTGGTGGATCAGATACATTTGCAAGTTATCTTTTTAACCAGATTTTCTTGTAATTCAATAGCAGGTATGTTGTACAGTCTTTTTGTTCTGTATTTAATCAAATTTAAATAATCCAAAGATAGAACATAAGAGTTAGTTTTTTTCTCAGTAAGAATCTTCATTTTGTCTTCTTTTTTCTAAATACATTTAGCTAGTAAACTAAGGAAATCTAAAGTGCATATGGATTTAAAGCAATGGCATGTGAGCAAAAGTAGCAGACTCAAGTCCCTTTGACATTTGTTGTAAATAATAAAAAAGTGGTCTTTTTGCCATTTTTGTTTAATTTTTTTTAGCACACTCTCCCAAATATAAAGCCCAACTCCACAACTCCAGGCATATCCGTTATCCTTGCAATGGGAATGTTCCTGAACTGCAAGGGTAAATAGCTAATTTAAGTCTAGAAGAACAATAAAAGAAGATATACCTGATCTTCTGCTCCTAGTCCCAACAACCTCTTCTTCTCCATGTAGCGGTCCAGGGTCCTGATGTCATCAAAATCAATGCAGGCTCAATAGCCCTGCACTGGATACGTTGATGTCAAGGGATAGTCCAATATCAGAGCATGGGGAGTGCCATCTGCCATGGTGCAGCAGACAATCAGGTAAGTAAAAGAGACAAAATGAGCAATTATTGTTTTTAGTGTGGGCACAGCCCCACTGCAAGGGATAATGTTACACATTCCCAGAGTTGGGCTTTAAACAATTAAGATGCATAGGGGAAATACTGCTGTGCAAGGAAAGTTGTAAGATGCTAACACAGAACTGTAGAGAGATGAAAGACCAACAATCATTCCAGTTATGCAGTTAAAAATATTCCTCACAGAGCATGTCCAGTCATTATCCATATTTAACTCCAAACCTAGTAGGCTTTTAGGAGCCAAAACAGCAGTTCATGCACACAAGCTTATATGTTCTGAAGGATCTTGCTGGCAGCAGGATCCTACATAAAATCTTGTCCATACACTGAACGTATGTAGAATTTTTGTTAATACTGCAATGCAAAGTGTACTCTATTTGCAAGGATGATGCCTAGCTTCACCATTTGCTAGGACGCAAGCAGCTACTGCTGCCTAATGTACTTGGTTGCTAAAAGGACATGACTCCTGCTGCTTAGCACCCTTGGAAATCAGGATCAATTCCAGTTCAACAAAGACACTGCATTGTCCGTCCAAATTGAAAGATAGATGCTTAACAAATTTCTTGCAGATTAATAGGTATTTGTGTGCACTTGCAGCTTTTTTACAGGAATAAAACACAAGGAAATGTATTGCAGTGATATACTCAATATATTTTGTTTTCTATTTTGCCCTGGCATACAGTACATATCAAATGTATTTAGTAAATTTGGCTAATATATGTACCATACTCTTCTCTACATTTAGCACCCTGTAGCCCTGGCAAAAGAGGTGTAAAACCATCTCTACTGCATTGAACAGTGCTGTTAATGTTATACCTTACATAAAGGACATCAAAGGTTTGATGCTGCTCCTTGACTATCCAATCAAAGGCTGAGATGGATGCTCAATGTGTAATGCATCTTATAATGTATTTAGTGAACATCAAACATACGCATTACAAGGCTGTAGTTCTGGTGCTTTTTCATTGTTTGCAAACAATATGATGTAAGTTGGTTAATTTGTAGAGCATCATAGTGTTTCTGTTTTTTTTATTATCACTGTCACAAAATAATAAAGTAAATTGGAACATTTACACATACATTTAAATTTAAAATGCTTATTAATCCTTAGTGATTTTCTTTTTTTTTTTTTACTTTTCTTTCTTTCTTTAGTGATGTAATATAACAATGCTATCTTATAATATTAATAGTAACATACACTAAGAGGAAGAAAAAATCATATATATATATATATATATATATATATATATATTGGGATTATGATACTAATAAATGAACTTGTTCCTATTGGAAGTCACTTCAGTTTGTGAAAAGATGAAATAATTATATTTCAGACAGAACTGCTTCTTACATGCAGTGCACCTTTAGGTTTTTCTCTACCTATGCAATAATTCATCATCTATAGAGTAATTTATTTCTTCTGGTTTTAATATGTTACAGACGAGTGGTTGTATGTCTTTCCTGTTAGAGCATTACAACTCAGGCCACTTTTGCATTAGGCTGGTACTACAACAGATACCTGTGGTGCTCTTCATGGTTCATGTGGTACTAATTTAAATGGGAAGTTGCACATATTTCATTGAAACACTTGGTAAAGCCAGCTTTCACAGAAGGGTGCAAATGATGGACTGTTCTCTGTGTGCAGCTGAACTGCTCTAAATGTGTCAGCGAGGGTTATGGATCATTTCATTCACCCATCAGCTATGGTCCGCTGTGTGTACAAATCACAGTATAGTGTCATCCAACAGAATATTTCTGACAATACTCGAACATTTATGGTGCTGCCATTTTTAATAAGAGTTCTGCTACCCTGCTTTAATAATATTACTTGTTTAACTCGTTTTTAGCTGGTTCAGTCTTCACTAGTTTATGCTCAATGAACAGCCCTCTTTTTAATATTATTGCTGCATAATTTCAGTGTATATTCTTTAGAAGCATCTAGATATATTTATAATCCAAAACAAAAGCATATTTTCTGTTAACTTACCCTATTTATTGGGCCTGCATTCCTAAGAAGATTTGCTTAGTGTGCTATCTCTGGCAAAGCTGCAAAAATGCTGTTCACTGAAGTTACTGTAAAAGAAGACAAAAATTTACTGAAGTTTAGCAATCTTTGGTATACTCACATATTCTGATACCCAATCCTGTCTCACTTTCTACAACCTATCAAAAATAAATAAATAAATAATATTAGAGAAATATTTAGCCCTGGATATGTTTTCTGATTATTTCTGAAAACAAAGTCATACAAAAAAGTTTTGAAAATATGAAATGTATATTAAAAGTCATATTAGGGCAGTAAAGGTGGCATGTACCAACATTTAGATCAGGGCTTAAAATTAAAAGCTACTAGCGAGGTCTTAAGAGTTACTCGCCACCAGTTGCCCCACCCAACCCCTACCCTGCTACACCCCTAATTCCGCCCCTAAACACGCCCTCGTACATTATTTCATGAAATGACACTGTTAAATGTTACCTGTGATCGTGACGTCAGACCCCTGCCCTTCTCACTTCTCACTTGTCACCAAACTCGTGACCAAAGGACTAGCCAATCTAAAACCACAATGTGACGTGCGTAACAATGCCACGCCCAGCTGCACCCTGCACAAAGATTTTCCAACTCACTGGACCACAAATGATGTACCAGCAGCCTGGGAGCGATTGTTACTGGGTCAGGTTAATTACGTATTTAACCAAAGAGACATGTACAGTACATACACACACACACACACACATAGAAACATGTACACACATGCACAGAAACACATACACACACACACATACAGACACATGTACAGACACACATACATGCACATACACACAGACAGACACATGTACATACACAGAAAGACACATGCACAGACACATGCACATACATACACAGACACACACATACATGTACATGAACATGCACACACAAATGTACACAGACACATGTACACACACACACACACACATACATGTACATACATGCAAACACATGTACAGATACACACATGTACATTCACACAGACACATGTACATGCATATACAGACACACACACACATGTACACATACATGTACACACACACACATACAAATACACACCCACACATACAAACACACACACACACACATAAAAATACACACACACGTGTACACACACACTAACAAATACACACACACACACAGCCCTATAAAAAGTTGCAATACTTCGTTACCTTCACTCACTGAGCCAGGTACTGCACTCTAGGGGGAGGCAGAGAGAACAGCACACACTCCTTCCTTTGCTTTCACTTTGCTCAACTATTGAGCACTCTGACAGCTCCCAGTGCGAGTGACAGATACGGCCTTGAGTGCCGAGCCTGCTCCGAAAGTTGGCCCTGGGGACACACTCGCCCCCATCATAATTTCCACTCGCCAATTTGAGCAGGCGAGTGGAAATTTCAAGGCCTGATTTAGATGGTAAATTATTCCCTGTATTTAAAACAAATATTTCAGGAAGATCAACCTGCAGAGAGTAAGTAGTGAATTTCATCTTCACTGTTTCATTAATATGCCTATACTGTACATTTTAAACCATTCTCACCGAGCATATGCATATATGCGGCCTCACGGACATGGTCTTTATCTGCATATACAGTGGATATACAAAGTCTACACACTCCTGTTAAAATGTCAGGTTTCTGTGATGCAAAAAAATTAGACAAAGATAAATCATTTCAGAAGTTTTTCCACCTTTAATGTGACCTATAAACTGTACAACTCAATTGAAAAACAAACTGAAATCTTTTAGGGGGAGTAAACATAAAAAATACTAAAATAATGTGGTTGCATAAGTGTGCATACCCTCTTATAACTGGGGATGTAGCTGTGTTCAGAATTAATCAATCACATTCAAAATCATGTTAAATAGGAGTCAGTACACACCTGCCATCATTTAAAGTGCCTCTGATTAACCCCAAATAAATTTCAGCTGTTCTAGTAGGTCTTTCCTGATATTTACTTAGTCATATCCTACAGCAAATGCCATGCTCCACAGAGAGCTTCCAGGGCATTAGAGGGATCTCATTGTTAAAAGGATATCAGTCAGGAGAAGGGTACAAAAGAATTTCCACAGCATTAGATATACCATGGAAACAGCAAACACAGTTATCATCAAGTGGAGAAAATATGGTGCAACAGTGACATTACCAAAAACTGGATGTCCCTCCAAAATTGATGAAAAGAAGAGAAGAAAACTGGTCTGGGAGGATGCCAAGAGGCCTACAGCAACATTAAGGGAGCTGCAGGAATATCTGGCAAGTACTGGCTGTGTGGTACATGTGACAACAATCTCCCATATTCTTCATATGTCTGGGCTATGGGGTAGAATGGCAAGACGGAAGCCATTTCTTATGAAGAAAAACATCCAAGCCCGGCTAAATTTTGCAAAAACACATCTGAAGTCTCCCAAAAGCATGTGGGAAACTGTGTTATGGTCTGAAGAAACCAAGGTTGAACCTTTTGGCCATAATTCCAAAAGATATGTTTGGCACCAAAACAACACTGCACATCACCAAAAGAACACCATATCCACAATGAAGCATGGTGGTGGCAGCATCATGCTTTGGAGCTGGTTTTCTTCAGCTGGAACTGGGGCCTTATTCAAGGTTGAGGGAATTATGAACAGTTCCAAATGCCAGTAAATATTGGCACAAAACCTTCAGGCTTTTGCTAGAAAGCTGAACATGAATAGGCACTTCATTTTTCAGCATGCTAATGACCCAAAGCATACATCCAAATCAACAAAGGAATGTCTTCAGATCACCCCACAGATTTTTGATTGGATTCCGATCTGGGCTCTGGCTGGGCTATTCCAAAACTTTAATCTTCTTCTGGTGAAGCCATTCCTTTGTTGATGCCCAAAAATGCCACATTCCAGCTTGTTTGATCTCGATGGATGCCAAAAAAGCATTTGACTGGGTCCACTGGAAATTCCTTGAGGGTACCCTTCAGCAATTGGACCTTGGGCCCAATATGCTGAGTAAAATCCTGATTTTATATAGGGAACCAGCGGTGAATATATGCTCTAATGGCCTTCTTTCGGATCCAATATGGATACATAATGATACTCGGCAGGGATGTCCCCTCTCACCCTTATTATATATACCCACTATGGAGCACCTTGCAACTGCTATCAGACAAGACCCCAATATACAAGGTATTTCAGGCAGCCAACATCACTATAAACTCTCCTCTTATGCAGACTACCTCTTACTATATATTTATAGCCCTCTTGTCTCTCTAACAGCCATTATCAAAGCATTTACTGACTTTGGCTTCGTAAGTAACTTTAAGGTAAACTATGACAAAACGGAGGCTCTTAATGTATCTTTATCCACATCCACCATATTCCAACTCCAATCTAATTTCACGTTTAAGTGGCAACAAAAAGCTATGAAATATCTTGGTATCCAAATTCCTACCTCCCTGTCCACCCTAGCAGATCTTAATTATACACTCCTTTCTCGCACATTTCAAGTGTGTCTTAAAGCTTCCTGGTTAGGTTGTATGAATGTTGTCAAAATGGATGTGCTACCTAAACTCCTTTATACCTTCCAAGCGCTCTCTATCTCTCCTCCACCGGGTTTTTTCCATCAGTAAATAAGGCCGTTTGCAACCTTATCTAGCGACATAGGAAATCTCAGATTAGCCCTGCTATCTTGTCATTACCTAAGAACAAAGGAGGTGTTGCTTTGCCTCACTATTTATCATACTTTAGTGCGGCTTTGCTGCTTTGGATAGTTAATTGGTACCATAGTAAATCCACTAAACTTTGACCCTCCTGGAGAATGACCTTGCAAAAGTCTGACGCTCCACTTCTATGCCATACGCTCTGTAATGGGAACCTAGTACCTCTCTCCCGGCTACTTTCCTCTTGTCATAGTCCTTTGAGGGCGTGGTTTGAACATACTCAATTATCACATTTTCTCAGTAAGATGTTGCCGGGCTCCTATAGACAACTCAAGAAAAGGTTAATTCATCATTTCCTGTTATTGCTGGACATTGGCGGCAACCATCTGTACCATCTTTGGCTGATTGGGCTTGTGAAATGGAGAGGACTGAGCACCTGGAATGCATGATAGCTTGGGAGGATGACAAGACTGACTCTCATAAACTTATGTAGACTGTCTGGTCACATTTCCGGTTTTCCTCCAATTTTGGGGCCTTTGTAGTTGTTCCTTCTGGGGCCTCTCAGTCATAGAGATGACATTATTTATTTATTAATTAATTAATTAATTAATTAATTAATTTTTACCTTTTTCCTTTAATTTGTTCTCTTCCTCTCTCTATGGACTTAATAGCTTTCATCTATTTTCCATGTACATGGTGCTCTGGACCATACTGTTCTGTTTCTTATATAGATGGTAGCACCATTATATGGTTTTTATTCATTGTGGTTTCTCACATTAGAATATTAGATGGTTATGGAGCTAACAGCACCTACAAATGCTTTGCTAGTCCTACTGTGTCTCAATGACATTCATTTTATCATGACCTTGTGATGTCTCATCTTACATTACTCTGGCCAATATGCATCTCTGTACACTTACTGGCTATAGACATGTACTCTTACGGTTGTGCTCTGTACTATTTGAAAACCAAATAAAACAGTTTCAACATAAAAAACAGCATCCAGAGATACATTCTTGTTAGTAATCCCAACATCAGGCATTGTCAAATACCATAAGATGATCCCATTACATATACAGTACATATATATATATACATACCAGTCTAGCAAAATGTTTTTTGAAATTTAAACCCTTAAATAAACCTAGAGAAGTATACATCAACAAAAAACAGAGCAAGAAAATCATGTATAAGCTATATATAAGCCCTCAGAGTATATGACACCACACCACCAAACTGTGGACCAGCAAAGGGTCCAATTCACTCCAGCCCTCCCTCCCCAAGATGCCTCAGGCAATTGCTTCCCATGGAGAGTTGCTGAGGATTCTTCCCAATGAAACCAAACCTTTGTGAATCTTTATAGGACAGCCACAGGCTTCATATGTCATCCTAGAGAGTGGAAAGGTTAGCATTAATTAACCTCTTCACATTGCCACAGTTAAAGACTCATCATAAATCCTCCTTCTGGCAATAAGCTTATGGACATAGAAAAAGAGGAGTCTAATAAACAGTTTTGTTGCACCACCCATCATCATCATTAATAACTCCCAGAAGATATAAAAGCTCTGAAGAAGAGGGGATCCCCCCTTGAAACACATCAGGATTTTCAGCATCCTCTTGCATGTGGAACGCGTGCAGTACTATAGACCATGGGCCAATGTTGGTCATGATATGCTTGTGTATATTTGGTATTTGTGAGTATACATCTGTTCTATTTTATGAATAAAGTTTTATATTGAGGTAATGCGCAAGGCTTGAGCGCCCTTTCTTTTTTCTTATTTTATAGTGCTATCCTGGGCTACCCCAGCCCCTAGGGGGCTACACAGTGGTGCTTGATTGGATTGAATGAAAAATGTGCATTAAGATCCCTCCACACATGCCCGATCCGGTCTTTTGAGCACAGGAGTTTTTTTTTCTTCTTTCTGGTGACATAAAAGGGGGTTACATATGTTAGGGAAGCCAAGATTATAAACTCCATCACTTGAGACGACAATGGCCTCCCCTTCCAGCATTGCCAAACCATATGAAAAAAGTACCTTCAAACAACTTACATTTATGAAATAATGCAGAATCCCACTTATGCACATGTAATAAATGCACAGGAGTATAATTTGTCTGATGTAAATAGTGTAGCTGTATCATCCTGTCTGTAGAGACTATAACTGTAGGTAGGTAGATGTGAAGCACCTCACCCCACTGCTACTCTTACAATTCTCTCAGTCTTGTTCAGTAGGAATCACAATCATGGGAAAGACTGCTGACCTGACAGTTGTGCAGAAAACCATCATTGACACCCTCCATAGGGAGGGAAAGCCTCAAAAGGTAATTACAAAAGAAGCTGGATGTTCCCAAAGTGCTGTATCAAAGCACATAAATAGAAAGTTATGTGTGAAGGGAAAAGTGTGGAAGAAAAAAGTGCACAAGTAGCAGGGATGACCGCAGCCTGGAGAGGATTGTCAGGAAAAGGCCATTCAAAAGTGTTGGGGACTTTCACAAGGAGTGGACTGAAGCTGGAGTCAGTGCATCAAGAGCCCACCACACACCCGGACGGATCCTGGACATAGTCTTCAAATGTCGTATTCCTCTTGTAATGCCGCTCCTCAACAACAAACAACGTCAGAAGCGGTGCTAAAGAAAAACAGACCTGGTCTGTTGCTCAGTGGTCCAAAGTCCTCTTTTCTGATGAGAGCAACTATAGCATCACATTTGCAAAACCAAGGACCCAGAGTATGGAGGAAGAATGGAGAGGCACACACTTCAAGATGCTTGAATTCCAGTGTGAAGT